CCCCGCTCATGACACATGCGTAGAAGAAAAACTTGAAATAACAACTAACAAACAAATCTTGCTGTTATTTTGTCAGATCAGCTTTTGGAAAACCAGATATTTAAAGCTTATTTTATGTTAGGCATGAGCGCCGTATCAGTCAATCAACGAAGGCCCTAAAATGACTGTTACCAGAGACTCCTCGCGGGGACTGAGGAATGGGGATGCTCTGTGCTCAAGAATGGAAATACTGCATGCTGCGCATGCGTGGCATTTTTTATTTTCTTCTTAGTTTCTGCGGAAGATTACTGCAGAGCCCAATATTTCATATGCAATACAGCCACCCTATAAAAAATAGGTAGGCTTGGCGTACATGCATCTGCGAAAAGCCGCCATATTTGTTTTACTACATGTTCGCAGGCGTACGACCCTAATTAGTCAATCTGCGTGTTTAACACACACACAATTCAATGGCATAGTATCTAGCGCTACGCGCAAATACAAAAAGCCTTGTATTGCCACAAAATGATTTCTAGACCATCTCCTAGACCCTTTCAAATGGCTGCGCCTAAAATACGTACTGCCTAAAATAACTGATGTATAGTAAAGAAAAAGATATGAATAATGAATAAATCATTCATTCGTACGACTTAAAATATATACGACAAAGTGTAATTTGGACATTTGTTTCTTAGGGCATACAGCTTGTAGAAAGAACCGAGAGAGCTATAGCCAACATTTTAAAGGGACGGTTGTTTTTTTAGGAAATTTTTCTACGACATAAGCAGCCAATCTATGTCGAATTGTCGACCACTTGTAGAGCACTTCTGGAAAAAAAAGCGCAAAGTGGTCAAATATATCAGGCGAGCGGTGAGGCAAACAAGGACAACGTGATTTATTTCAACGAGAGCCGGGTTCTGACTAGCCTCCCAGCATCTGTTTCTAGCGTCAGTCACGCAACGCTTCCCTTTAAAACCTCAACGATTTCGCTACAGATCCGACGTTACAAATCCTAAAACAACGTCAGATAATTTTGTCAGATAATTTCAGTTTGTATCTCTCTTGTAAACAAGTTATTTTGGCATTTTAAAATATTAAACTTCCATATTTTTCTAGGGACCAAACGTTGAGGCTTGGCAAAATTTTAGAGCAAGTGAAACTGACGAACTCAGTTTTGAAAAGGTGTGTACATTGTATTCATTGCACTGTTTTCTTATGATTGTATTTTAGTTTTAAATTTGTATGGTTTTTTTTTCTGTGTTGGTGTTGTATACTCAGGTGAATATGATGTTTGTGATGTTACTCTGAGTGTATATCTACACCGGACAAGCTTGAAAAATATGCCCGGCCACGGTGGGAATCGAACCTACGACCTTTGTGTTTTAAAATTAAATTATGTGTAAATATTAGGATTTTTGAGCATCCCACTCCGTACAACTAATTGTTGAAGGGGTTGTAGATGTAAATTTCGAGTGGAACTTTTTTACATTTATTAGGTTAAAATTACCCTTTCAGTGGCAATTATTGAATTTCAAATGTTGCAAAATTAACCTACAATCAGTTTCTGAATTTCAACAAACGTCAATCCCCCCGTAGTCTCCTTCGCAGACGTTCTTATACCTCTAACCCTCGCTAACTAACGTCTGCTGAAACGAGCTGCACATTCCCTCGGATCGACCAATCACAGCGAACCTTCTATATTTCGGAAAGTGATTTAGGGGCGGAATAAATAGTACATAACTAGAAAATACATGCATGCAGAAACCCTCGCCTTGCTGACAAAACCATTGTACTTTCCGAACATGAAGTATATAAAGTAGTTGTCATGGTAACACGATATTTTTTTAAGAATATTCTTACAAATAAAAAATCGCCTAAAAATATCACTTTTAATTACAAAATTATCAATCCCAGCATATATATGTTAGGTATGTTATTATACGTAATATAAGCCTCAATTTAAGGTAAAATTCAACCACAAACGGTTCGCAAAACGTTTTAATTAACGTCACTAGTGTTCTTTATAAAACTAAACTGCCTTTTAAAATGGCTTTATCGATAAACTTTGAGTTTGCAATAAGGCCCGGCTTAGACGCCGTGCTTTTCATGAGCCGAACTTAATACAATGAATTAAGCACATGAGAAGCACACGGCGTCTAAATCAATTAAGCACTGCACTTAATATTAAGCACGGCTAAATTGATAAGTTCGCCTGGTTCAGGCGTGCTACACGGCTGAAGCACATGTTGATTTATACTGCCGTGCTTTACATGAGCCGTACCAAATGCATAAATTATGTTAAAATAGAATATTTATAGTACACGAGCGTTGATTGGTCGAGAAGTGT